CATACAGAAGAATATTTTCCCTTCTATGACCCTGTATACCAGTTCTTTATGCAATATAATATAAATTCATTTTCTTAAAATTTATAAGCTGTTGCTAAATTTCTCTAAGAATTCTGGACTGGGTTGAAAAATCCTTAGCTGAAAAAATAATTCCAAAATAAATATCTTCCTCTTAAAACTTGGCATTCTGTTTCAAAAGTCCTTCCCTTGGTTTTGTTAATAAAAGACCACATTATACACCTTCATATTCTCCCATCTCTAGTTCCCTCTGTACCAAATCCATCTTATTACAAAAATATGTACCACTTAATGAGCATCTAATATATGCCTCATATTTACTTTAGAAACACCAGTAATTTTACTTTCTTAACCACCCTCCTAGCATAAGTACTATTTTTAGCCCCACATGACAGATGAAGGAACCACAGCTTAGGAAAGAGAATTAACGTGGTCAAGTTCGCACAGCTAATAGATCATTGGGGTCCACTAGTCTATACATCTACAATACATGTAAAAGACAATCCTTTAGACACTCAAATACGTAGAAGTCCAAACTACAAATAGGAGCAGCAAAAATATATATCCGGACTACAGTAACCTGAGGTTAGTCCTAATATTTTAAGTTCTCAGATAAATATTTCTTCATATTTTTTGGACTAACTAGCCTTTTCCATTTGATGTGCCTCGGGCTTTTAAATCAGAAAGACATGGACTTGAATTCTGCTTTCTCACTTGCCATCTTCCTAAGACCCTAGACAAGTTATGTAGGCTCTCTGAGTCTCATTTTTCTGTCTCTAAAATGGGAATAGTAATATCTACCTACTAAATTTATAGAGACTAGTGAAGATTTTGCAGTATTTCCCACAAAAAGGCTTTCCCAAATATTTGTTGAATTCTATTTATATATCTTATTCCATCTTTTCCAAAGCAACCTCCTCCTTTTTGCCTTTTAAATCTCTTCTTTTTGGGGTGGTGGGAGGGGTGAAATAACTAAACATTTACCAAAAAGCTCATTAAGTGTTTTGCACTAAGCACTCAAACCACCCAAATAGATTATAGTTAAAATAACAAATGCTAACATTCTTTGAGTTCTTACTATGGCTCCGACCTAAGTGTTCTACCTTGATTATTTCATCTAACTATGCCAACCCATGAGATAGATATAAGTGAGCCTATTTTACAGAGAAGAAAACTAAGAGCAGAGAGTTTACTGAGATTAGTCCTTTGTTCAAAGTCACAAAGCTAACAAGTAGCCAGTCTAGGCAGCCTGACTTCTAAAGTAATGCATGCTATTGCTGTATAGTCCTAAAATAGTAGTGGTGGGGGTTATTGAGGGAGAAGCTACAGAAACAAGACTCTTAAATCCAAATGTTACAGGAACCACATTTACTAATATTCTTTGTGAAATAAACAGAATGATAAAAGGAAGCAGTTGTTTCCAAATCCTCTTCACTGCTATGCTATGCAAGATATTATGGCATTATACTTTGCAGTATTAATGGATGTGAACAAGAGTTTCATATAATTCAGATGCCTCCAAGGAAGCACATATAAATTCTTCTGATCTTACCGCTTTTGGTCCTCTGATCTGGACCTTTTGCAGAAGAAAATTACCAGAAATGATTGACAAATTTAGAAACCAAAGAGTTAAAGAAAAATGAGCAACTTGAACATTAGAAAAAGGGAGACATTTTCATTTGATCTCATTTAGATAAAATTGTTTTCTCTTACCTAGATTATTGCGGCATGATTTCCATCAATATAATGATCTGAATACAACAGATACCGTAGAAATAGTTTCATATAGTAAAACATGGTGGTGGTTTGCACACCCAATTACCATGAATATTTCTCGTAGACAGAAATAGCTTTGTACTGAACTTCTCTTGATAAACTTCAATAACTATGTATAGATTTTCCCAACTGTTCAGTTATGAAATGGGATTTACCAAAGAAAGAAAAATGTTTCAATATAGTATTACATACATATATTAACTATTTTTTATTTAGCTGATTTCTTTTTAAGTATTTCTAGAAGTTTCATGGAAATAAAAAAGACCAATATCAACAAATGAGAAAATACAATTTTATGAGCAAGTATTTTATTTCTGTCCTTTCCCTGAAAACCAAATCTTTACTAAAAAAAATTTCTATTTTGAACACGATTGAAACTTCATAAGTATTGAATTTCCATCCCATTCCATAGACTTTAAATGGAGAGAGAAACTGAAGTATAGCAGGCCTGCAAATGACATTGTTTAGATAAACATATCTTGCCAGAATTATCCTGGTACCAGCATTTAGAGGCTCCAGGCATATTTGGAACTAAGATTCTAGCTTAGGCTCTTAATGAGCAATATGACACATCTCAACAGACACTTGCTTTTAAGAAAGTGCTTTCTTGGATCATTTGGATTAGAGTCTTTCCATTATGCTGCAAATATTCATAAAGATATTCATTCCTAAAAGACAAAAGCTTAGAAAAGAAGAACTATTCAAATCACTGACTATTGGCAGAGAGGTACAAACTTGCCCTCTGGTCATTCAATTTTAATCTCTATTATGAAAAAGTCAATGCAATGTAAAAAATGCAAGGGAAAACGGAAAATGTTCAGACAATGTTAAACAAATACTGTATACTACATTCATGTTATTTTCTTCTTAGCGAAAAATATTGAAGTTATTTTTCATTAGTAAAATAACAAATGACTTTAGTATGTTCAGATTTGCATAAATGTCATTGCAAAATTTCTGTATTTCTCAAGAAAGAAACTGATCACTTACCTGTGTAATGGGAATTCAGTCTCATACTGAGTAAATCACTCACTGAGATTCACTGTTTTGGGTCAGTGTGTTTCAACCTGTTGGAGAACCCTCAAAGTTCCAGTATGGTGGAGGAATAGTCCAGTAAATCAACTGTACAGCTATCTATGTTGATCGTTCAAGGCAATTTTGCGCTTGTCTTGCTCGTTATTGATATGACATCCTATAATTTACGCAAACTCATAGAATACAAGTGCATTCTTCCTTGTTCAAATTAGTTATGCAAAGCTTGAATAGTTTCTTACCAAATCTGTTCTTCTTCCTAGGCTCACCTGTGGACACTATTTCCATATCTCCCTTGCAGTCAGGTGTGACCATGTGACAAGTTCCATCCAACAGAATATGAACAAAATTAACACACACCACTTCCAGGCTTGGCTCATGACTAATTTTTATGAGTCATATTCATCCTTTATCTGCCCATTAAATGCATATGCATCTTATGCTCTGGACACAAAAGATGAAAGGAGCTTGGGCTCCTGAATGACTTCACAGAGGGCGGCTTATTTTGGACTGCATTAAAATAAGTAAATTTCTACCATAGTAAGCCTCCAAGATTTGGGAGATTACCTGTTATAGTGGCTAGTTTTACTGAAATACTACATTAGCATACATCCACATTCATTGTTTAAGCAACAATAAAGAGTTAAACTTTCAAAACCAAGAACAGCCTAATTTAATTACCAATCACTACAACTAAAAGAAGACATGTCTGAAGGAAGTGAATCAAAACATACATAATTACAGACAAAAGAAATATTTAGCCTTAGTCTAATGATTAAGGTCCTTAACAAAATAAGATGGGAAATGGTAAATATACTAGAAAGAGTGCAGACTTTCAAGTCAGAAAGAGACATTTGCAAATTCCAAGCTCTGTTCTTTGCTTGTTTTGTAAGCTTCAGCAATTTGATAAACTGTTCTTGGAATGTGTTTTCCCATCTATAAAATGGGGATTATAAAATATAGCTCACAGGATTCTATAAAGATTTTGTACACACACATATACATACAGAAACACACACATACACACACCATCTAATGCTTATGAGGTACTCAATAAATTCTAGCTATTATCAATAAGTATTTACCCAATATATGGAAGTATGACTAATATTTTAAAATATTAACCTTTTACTCTGGTTACTCTTTCACTTCCCCCAACATGTTGATAACTAGTCATTTCCTTAGGGAAGGGTTACCATAGCAGAATATAAATTACGAAGATATAGATACTCATGGTTTCCAAGTTTCAAAAGTCTAGGCTTGGTAAAAGACAGATTTCAAAGAAAGAAAAAGATGGTTGAAGGAAGGTTTTCCTCCTTCCTGCACTACAAAGGATTCCCAGAATTGTGGGAAGGGAAGCGAGGGCATATTGTGCGGGAAGTTCGAAAATTTAATACCAATGTGTGTGTCCCTGGAGGGAAGGAAGGTAGAGAGAAGTGAGGAAACCCAGAGACATCTCAGAGAATTTGAAAGCGGAGCTGACCTGGACCTTATTTCTGAGGAGAATCTCTGAGGGAAATTGGATGGTGAATCTCCCCTACTCCTTCCTCTATTCCTCTTCCTGATCCCATGGAAACCTACTGAGACAACGCACAATCACTGCAAATCACTCTGCCCATTAAATGCCTAGGAATGTAGGTCAGAAGAAAAGAGTATGCACAGAGTCTAGTCAGATGGGTCTCACCAAAGTTCTTGCCCACACTAGTATGGCATAAAGTACGGAACAATGATTTTTTCATATTACGTAATGGGGGCATCAAAGTAGCATAAAGATATCCAGATCTGAAAGTGATGTCCCAGAAAGAAGCCACTGCCTGCTTGGACCAACAACAAGGATATGAGGGAGAAACTGGTATCTTCATGGATGCCAGCCCTGACAGATGACAACTAAAGTACAAATATTCTACCACACTGTGGTCACCACACCCATCACTCCATGCTTTGCAATTATATAAGCCCTGAAGTGATTAAAAAATGGATTTCTTCTATTCAATGGAATTACATTCGGTTATTAAAAGATAACATTATGGAGTGAAAATCAGTACAATTGTTATCAGTTGCAATTATTTCACATTATTTTTATAAATGTGAAGGGGTATAGGAACTTAAGTTACTGTTGAATCTTGTTATGCATCTTGCTTTGAGTGTCCCATGCTTGTTAAAAAAAAACTTACTTCGATCCGTAATGATTGTTCTAGCCTCTTGATTGCTGGTCTTGTTTTTCAAATTTTGGGCAGCAGTAATGAGTTCTTCCAATTGGGGGCGCCTCTGTTCCAAATCCTGCAGTGTTGCCTGTAGGAACAAATATCGCTTAGCATGGGGTTCTTCAACATTGTGTATTCCTTTTCCATAATACAAAGTAAAGTACAATGGTAAAACCAGCCAAAACACTTTTAGAAATAAAAAAGGTGTTACTGTGTGAGGGCTTATAGAAAATTTAACAGGAAATATGCTTCATTCTTGGATACCAAAAATATTTCAGATGAAAATCTTTTCATCTGAGCCTTTAAATAAAGAAAATCTTCTTTATTTAAAGTACAATTGTTGTACTTAAAAAAGATTTTCTTCTTTATTTAAAGGCTCAGATGGAGTCATTCCAGAGTACTTGGTATTACTTAAACGACTGCATGAGTGCCTTGAGTAAGAAATGTTATTCTGAATTATGACAATGTATTTAAAAGACAGCCATTTAAACTTATAATATCATTCTGTCTGATGTGAAAATTAAGGTATATTTATTTTAAAAACAGAAAGAGCACAGGACTGATTTAAAAGATATTTAACTTCATTGTACCTGAGATTCCTCATCTGTAAAATGAAAAGGTGAAGTAGATGAGGTAATCAGCCTTTCTCCCAAGTTGCCTGTCCATAAGAATCACTAAACCTTTTTGCCTCACTCCAGAACTAATGAATTTGTAATGGAAAGAGCTGGAAATCTTGCATTTTAAATACATTATGTAATTAACTTTTATGATTTAGGCAAGTTTGGAAAGCATCAGATTAGATGTTAGTATTCGTTTTTTCCTGTATTATAAATGACTTTAATACAGCACTATTTTAAATAAAAATACAAATAGAATAAAACCAACAATTTTTAATTTATAGATAGTAATGTAAGATCATTAAGAAATTTTTCTCTTTCTTCAGTGTCTATCTATTGTCTCTGTCATCTTGGTCTCTACATTTAAGGACCAAAACCTCTAAGACAGTCATGAAGAAATTTATGAAGAAAAAAAAAAGCATCTGACTAGTTCTGGTTCTAAAACACATTAAATTTTATTTTTATTGGGGAAAATGAAAGTGAGATTTACTGTGAGTTTATAAGCAATACGTGACAGATGTTTTATCCACATTTTCTCATTTTTCTCTTATAATAACCATACTAGGAAACAAGCCAGCAAGTTTGTATAATTTTAAATATGATGTTCTACCACGAGGTCAAAGAAGGTGAAGAGATGAAAGTTGTAGATAGTAATGTACATGAAACTCACACAAAACTTAGTTATCTATCATGTCCTTTGACTCCTGCTGATTTTCTAATGATTTTTGGTTTGGGAAAGGCCAAATTTTGATTATTCTGTAGTGTTTCTTTTGTAAAGAGGTAGGAAAACAGGCTTTGTGATTTAAACTCAATTGCTTTTGGTAATATTAAAATAATGTAGATAACTTATCCAAACACTGTACATCTACTTTGGGCACTTTCTCCTCTCTGTATTGAAAAATTGGCGGGGCTAACTTTTAACAAAATTTCCACATTTGTAAGCTGTGATTGCTCAGAAGAAAAATCCAATTTTCAGGTTTCTAACTTTTATGGTCTTTATACAAAAGAGTGTTTGAAATATGGAACAAATTGCCAAAGACAGCTATTGGAGTAAGTGAAATAAGTTAGTAGGAGAGTACTGAACAATTTTTAAAGCAGGAACCATATAGTAGCATATAGATTTTACGAAATATGCTGTTTTCCAGTGTTAGAATGTGAAACTCTGGTCATCTGTGACATGGGAAGCTGAAAGGTTGTTTTGGAATTGCTTACTCTAAAATGACTGAATATGTTCAATAGAATTTTTAAAATGGACTTACCCAGAAACCTCAGATAAAGTCAAATTTTCACCTCAAAGTTAACAAAGACTTTAAATACACAGAGCTAGTAAAATACATAAATTCATTTACTCATCCATTCATTTTAATATTTCTAAGCACTGGGCACTATGCATGTGGCAGTGGAGAAATATATTCAGTATAATCTGGAACATAAATGAAAAACTGTGCTTTTTGATACTTAAAATTTTTATATAACAAAGATGATCTTTATCGGGCTGTTCTTCTTTGATTTAATATTAATTCACCCTAATTAGCCAGATTTTTTTGCTTATCCGTTTTAGGTACATTACTCAAAGTTTGCTATAGTTTTTTCCTTCTTTTAGGATTTCAAAGTTCATTTAAGAAGTATGCTGTAAAAGTAATTTGATCAAATTTAATCTGAACCTTAACAGGCTCTAAATTAAACCTGACCACAATGAACAGCTTTTACTGCTGAAATTAGCAAGCATGTCAACTTAGACTCAGAAGAAGCCATTTTCCTCTCTAATGAACAAAATAGGTCTCAGGGTATTGTGAAACCTGTTCTCTAGTTGGGTGATTCCCTAATTCTGCTGACAGACACATGCTTTGTCAGCACCTGAGAAGATTATTAATTACATCCTTTGAAGCAGCCTCCTTAAAAATCTAAGGAGATTCACAACTGCAATATAACTATGCATTTGTAAAATATTTCAAAATAAACTTTCAACTTTTTATCACACTCTTCGGTCAACACATACAAACATTCATTTCAAAAAAGAAGCTGTAAAATAATAATGTATGTTGCTATGGGATTTATCATACACTAATAGGCTCTTTACTTAGTGGTCTTTTAGTATAGCGGAATGGGAATTTTCTCCTTTGATTCCCTTTCTAGAAATAAAGAGAGGGATTTAATATAGCATATGCTTCAGTATTTTTTCATTAAGATATTATAAAAACGGTGGTTAAAATAATTTCTTGCCAATAAAAGAACACAAGCATACGGTGAGACTAATTATTGTTTTTCTTTTCATTTGGTTTCCTTTTAAGTGTATTCTATTATTTGCTACTATAATTTCTTTGACTTCACAACTTAATTTTATAATTCCAGAACTTCTTAAATAAAGTGACTTTCATCTCTATTCCTTCGAATCACCCACACATGATAAAACACCTTAGATCTGATCATTACTCAAACTACTTGACTCCAAAATATCCATCTACAAAATTCTGTTCTCTGCCCCCAATCTGCTACTTTTACCAGATGTTACTCTCTCAAACAAGTTGTTCCTAGTATTATCTTCCTTCTCATATGACCTCTGGTCCTGTCCTATTTCCTCAACCTAGCTTTAGTCATACTAACCAAGTAGAATGCTAATTGTGCTTATTTATTTCTCTAATATGATCTCAGATATTTGTTACACTAATAAGTGAACAAAACTAAAATTGTTAAATGCTTACCAGTACCTAAGCATGATAATTGATCATGTCAACATGGATTCTATCATTCTAGAAGAAACAAAACACAGGAGAAGGAAGGAATCGATGCTATTTCTAAGGAGTCCTAAGTCAGCTACTGGGCTTTACTAAAAACAGCTTACCCCTGGGAGATGAGAATTCATCATAGATTCCACTAGCTGAGCAAAGATGGAAGAAAAAAAAATGTAAACACAAAGTGAATCAGAAGTCTTTAATCTTACAAAGTCCCCACAGAGTTGAGTGAAGTGGTTATAAATAGCAACCCTATGAAATAGGAAGTTAAACAGTGAAAACATTTTAGGCTTTTAGAAAAAATTACAATTTGTTATTGTATTTATTAAAATGGAATTCCACCTAAATAATACTCAAATAAAAAACATTTAGCATTTGTATGTCTAAGAAAATACTTTAAAAATCAAACCTGTCATATTTTTATATTTTTCTATGAAAATCAACAATCTACACAGCATAAATGCCAATGGTGATTTTCAAAAGTTGCAATTTCAGTAAATAAACATGAATTAAGCTGAAATGTAACAAGGTAGAACTGATGCTATTATATTTACAACTTTAAAAATTAATATTAAGAATTCAGAGGTAAAAGAGTTTATAGAACCATTTTATGTGTTGAAAAAAATAAGCATGGAAGTCAGGGAGGTACTAAATTATAGCCTTTCTAGTAACTGAAAGAGTTTTGCTGGTGAGGATGCTAGTAATTTATCTAGCTTTCAACCATCTTACTGAACACCTTCATTTTGGCTTCTATTCTTGCATTCAGCTGCCTCTCCAAGTAGGGTGGCCAAATCAAAAACCATCCTTATTGTCTTCCACTTACTTCCTCACTTTTCATTTACATTTTATACTGGTTTGGATATTGTCCTACTTGACCAACCTTCCCTACTTCTTTTCTGAATGTTCTTTCAGCACCTTCATTTATAATTTCTTAACAATCTTCATAATCAACTTCATAAACATCTTCTGACTGCAATTATCCTTTTTTGTTCTTTAGTCACCGAACAAATGCTTTTTAGAATGCATTTTATTTTATATAACATCAAACTTGCAGAATATTTGCAAGATAAAAACTCCCGGGTACCCCTTACCCAGGTTCATCATTTGTCAACATTTTGCCACATTATTTTTAAACATTTATCATTTTATTATTCTCTTTGTGCATAGATATATACCTATATAGCTAATATTTTATATATACATTTTTTCTGAATCATTTGAGAATAATTTACAGATATCATGCCCCTTTACCCTTAAATACTTTAGGTTTTATTTCTTAATAGCAAAGACATTCTTTTAAATAACTTCAGCTCAATTTCAAAGTCAGGATATTTAACATGGCTTTAGATCACAATCTTATCCATACTCTATATTCAGAGTATGACAATTACCCCATTAAGGAAATTTATAGCTCTATTTTTATTTCCCGGTCTGTTCCAGTCTCATGCATTACTTTCAGTTGTCATATCTCTTTAGCCTCTTTTAATTTGAAATAGTTATTTGCCTTTCTTTGAACTTTATAACACTGATGGTTTTGACCAACAGAGGCCAGGTATTTTGTAGAATATCTCCCAAATTGGGTTTCAGCAATATTTTAAGTGCTTCTGTGGTGTCACTCATTGAGCTAGATGCAGAGGCTGTAGCAGTGAAGGAGAAAATAATTCCTGTTCTCAATAATAAAACAAACTAGTAATGATGACAGGCAATAAAAAAGCAATTACAATAATCTGAGGTATTAT